TGCCATTGTCATGTAGTCAAAAGCCTGAAGGCCTTTGAGCCTCGTGTCATTACACACACACACACACACACACACTATCTCACTGTACACAGCGCAGTCCAAATCAGAATCAAGCCGCATCAGGACAGCACAGTGGAGCATCACAAACACGGTCCGCCTGTAGCTCATTCACCAACGCTGCCATGCAGCTTCTGTCCCTCTCTAACTTAAGGGTGCAGGGCAGTCACCCTGTCCATGTTCAGTCGGGCGGCGTAATGTTTAACTTTCTGCCCTTTGCTCATCAGCGCTGTGGACAAACTAACTGAATTGCAGCCTGTCGTTAAAAGAAACTACAGAGACGATCCACTCGTCTTTCAGCCCGCGGATGCGTTGTGAAGGCGGTGGAGGGAGCACTCACACCGAAATCCCCCCCAAGCATTCTTCCTTGTAGCTGGCTCTGAGACGTATTGATTTTCAAATCCTCAAGTTTTCAGAGGGACGTTATGTAAACAGGATCAGACCAGCAGCACGGACATTTCACCTCTGCGATTGGCTCAATGTCACACATGCTCAGGTTAAAGATCCCTGTTACCATGTAGATGAGAATGTGCAACCGCTACATATTTAATTCACAGATGTGGGGGAAAAAATAAAAATAAATCAAAAGTGCCAGTATGGAATCTCGCTTGTAAACTCTGTTAACTGGTATCTCCGTCGAGTCCATTTCCACACCGCTTTAAAGTGGCAGTGTTATTATGGTACTTTGTACACAATTGGATGCAGAGTGCACCTCATTTCTGGCAGTAGGGTTGTTTACAGAGTGCACATTAAAAAAAAAAGGACACATTCCCCTCTTGTGATCCATTAAAAGAAAAGCATGGACACATAAACCAATAAACTTGTCAGATGAACTAAATTACAACTGAAATTCTTTGGTAAAATACATTTTTCTCCCTTGTCTGCTTCCAAAGCCATTCATAGCGGAGTTCTCGCAGGGTTCCTCTGTCAACCACCACAGCGGAACAGCAGGGTCAGCAACGGGCTGCTCCGCTTTTACAGCTTATGAACACTTCTAGCAAAAGATTTGCCCTTTTGATCCGGGAAGGCAAATAAGGCCGCTGGCCCAAAACCTAAAAAAGACGGACGGCACACTTGGGTGTTAAACCATCTTAGAAGACATGTCAGTTTTGTTTTTTAATAGTAACTCAAGGACAGTAAAACACATTGCTTACGGCAACATGTGTGTGGGTGAAAAGAAAAGGTTAAGAAATCCCTCTAGTGTTCAAAGCACATGTGAATGCTGTACATGTGGCCGGCATTTCTGCCACCACTCACGAAGCAAAACCACAGCTACCGAAACCACACAAATAAAACCAAAACCAAAGCCCTTCCAGTGTTTCATGCGGGTCCGTCGTTGGCATCGACATACCACACACACACACACACACACACACGAACAAGGCGGGTGATTTAAAGAACGCTGTCTGAAGACCCCTCCTGTTGCCTAAACAACGCACAAAGAGACAAAGGATAAGAGGGCACGCACTAAAGGAAGACTCAGTGGCTATAGTGAATAGTGAATGATGTGAGAAGTGACCTGGGGACATTACGCAGGAACATGCTGCAGGTCACATGTGCTCACTGGAGAATAATTCGGGGCGTTGCAATTTCAGTGTTCTAAAACCCCAGTACATATTTTTCTAAGTCGGACCGCGATAATCTTCACCCATTATACACCCACACACCCATTATTCTACTTTTAGCTGTATTAACAAAAAGCATGCTACCTGTACAGTTATGTGCAAATCAAACAGAGTCTATTTATTCTCTGCATTTCTTGCCGAAGCCTTTTCCCTGTGAAAGGTTTTTTTTCCCATCATGATAACAGAAAAAAAAAAAACTGGAACAATAAAGAAGAAATATTTTGCGTGACCCGATCTCTTGTTTCCAGGTGAACCGTCTTCCTTCGGTCTAATCTCTTGCACAGCCATAATAAAAACAACAGCCGGAGGCGCGATATCAGCCAGTATGAGCTGTGGCAACACGACCCAAAGAGAGTGCAAGCTAGAAATGTGAATATTATCATTTGTTTTAATGCTCACAGGATATTATCAATCATCAGGCTTTGCTAAACCCATTTTAACAGCTCGGTTGAAACATGTCAAATGAAAAACAGCAGTCGGGGGAGTTTGTTTCTTACAACAATGCTCCCTTATGAGAAAAAGACATGTGAGAATCCCAGAAAACTTCCATGTGTGGATGGACAGACGGACACGGGGGGTATACGGGGGCAATGTGGCAGGGAGGTTTTCCCTCCCGCAGAAAATCCATCCATCACCCAGGTTGCCACGCAAGGACAGGGTGCATCCTTAAGTCTCTCTCCACCTTGTTAAAATCCCTGCGTCTCCCCGACACGATTTGAAGAGAGAAAACTCTCTGCTGGTTGGTGACGCTGCTCACCACACATTTTCTCGGGGGCTTTTAACAGCTACCCCTCCCGCTCCACCCGTCTCTCTGGCTCTCTCTGCATTTTAAAGGAGATTTCTGCCACTTCAGAACAAAACCAAACTGCCTTCTAAGTGACTGCCCCATCGGCTCGGGCTCCATGCTATTTCTGCAGGCATCAAAGCAGAAAAAATTTCATCAGAACAAACAGGCCAGCGGATCAGACGGTATATCAGTTTGGCTATGTGCACAAAGCTACAGAGGTTTTAGTTACACATGGAATATACTATGGGATGGTTGCACATGAGAAGACATCAATAGCTTTGAGTAACACTGCACTAAAGGTTTCATGGTCATCGTGGTCTGATCAACAGAATTTGTTAGGCCAATATCAACATCAACGAGAAATAAATCTGATCCTATATTGGCCGATAATCATTTTCTTCATGCAACACGATATGTGATAAAATGCCCATAATGACACTTTGCATTTAACTTTTTCTCTCTCTGGTAAACAAAACGAATGTGCTGCTTTTCACGTAATCGGCTGAATAATGCGCTTATAGCATTATATAAAAAGGGTGGCAATTTTGTACCTTACCAATGGAAACATAGACAACTTGGGTTGAGTACAAGGTCTCCCTCCTTACCCACCAGTGCATCCATAGTGAAGCCCCACCCTACCTCAAGGAACTTCTCACCCCACAGACCTCAACACGTACCCTCCGATCTGCCTAAGCACATCTTTTAAAACCTCCCAGGACAAAGCTCTGTACAATGGGAGATCGGGCTTTCTGCTCAGCTGCTCCCAGTCTCTCCCTGACCACCTGAGGACACCACAGACTGTGGATGCTTTTAAACGTGGCCTAAAAACCCACCTTTTTAGGAGAGCTTTTTAGTGAACTCGTTTTGTTTTTGTTTTCAAACATCTCAGTGTGTTTTTATTGTCAGCACTTACGTGTTTTATCATGTAGCACTTTGGGATTTTCTTAAATATAAAGTGCATTACAAATTAAATGTATTATTATAATTAACTCCAGCTGAATTGATGCCGGTGAACATCCAGAGGTCTGTTTTAGGCAATAGTCAATAGTAATTAAGGGATTTAACGGGTTGGTATGTTGGTTCCCATTACTGCTGGGCACCTCTTCCTGGTTAGCACTGCTGCAGGTCACGTCCTTATCTAGTGGGTTAGACATTAATAAACAGCTAACAAGGGTCGGCTTTCAGTAAAAAAAATAGAAAAACAAAGTTACCATCACTAGTGTGTGTGTGTCCATGCTTCAGTGTGTGCGTGTGCACCCCTGTGTCTGTCCATGGTTAATCTCGCACTCTGCAATGCAAATTGCATTATATTTCAGGCGGTCAGTCATAATCAAGGGCCTCTCAAGGTTGAGGTGACACTTTCTAAAAACATCCGTTACCTCCTGCTTCATACGGACATTGACCGCCCGCTGACTTACTGGAGTCGCAGTGGGAGGAAACCGTTGGCTCATTCTTAGTGTTTTTGGCTGTGGGTTTAGCTAAACGCTAACTCGGAACTACAGAGGTTAATGGCCTGTGACACCATTTGAAGTTTATGTAATAATTATCCCGGGGCAGACCGTACAACATGTTGCTTCATGAAAGCTTCTTTCGTCCGCTGTGACATTTATATGTCCATGAATCCTGTGCAGTGATCCTTTACGTGCCATCTACCTTTAAAATGTCCAGGCACAAGTATGCGTGTTAACATAACCCTTGTTAGTGTCCTGTGAGTGAAATTCCACCAGAGGTTGGTAATGCCTGCTGCACGTGACCCCCAAGGCCTTCAGTTCTTCAGCCTGACAGGAGAAGAGCAGAGTCAAGAGCTCCTGCTGAGGAGCAGATCCATATACCGGTCTTAGCACAGACCTAGCAGAGCTGTGGTTAAAAGTGATGAAACAGCACTGTGTTTTGCCGTAAAATGGGTGAGTCAAGGGTATCAAAGTCAGACAAACAACGTGTAGTTCTGATGCACAGGATTGGAGATCTTGATTGCAGACTGAGCTGCAACAGCAGCCAGGAAGGTGTGAAAAGGAAGCACCGCTATCTTAACCACTGCATCATAAAACCGTTTTTAAAGCCCTGCAGACTTAATTACTTATAAAACTGAAGGATAATCACAAGATAATCTTGAGGAAAATACCTATAATTTACACCCAATGCCGAGAGAATTGTGGAACCCATCTGCTGCTGCAAGCACGTCATGGGTTATCTTTAAAGATTAACACCACGATAAGATGCCACTGTAAATTCACAATCCTGCACGGTGAAGGTCTTGTGTCAAGGGAAAAATGTGCTTTATCAGTACATTTGGGTCTGGTTTAGAGAAGCTACAGAGGGACAGAAAACAACCATGTAATATTTCAGCGGGTATTTTAAATCAGTATAAAAAGGTGATATAGGTATTTCTGGTTTGCAATGGTCAACAGCTGCTGGGGCTGCTCGGCTCGGCTCTCTTCCCCCTCTTGGCCCGGTTTCAATGCGTGTCAACCGACCACCACGCACACCGAACGGGTCCGTGCAGAAACGCTTTGGCCGAAGATACAACTTACCTGTTCCAAAGTGTCCACGCGATACGCCGAGTCCAGAGAGGCGCGGGAGGGAGACGGAACCAGGTCGTGAGGTGGAGGCAACGCAACCAACCCGCGGAGAAGAGAACGAAAAGAGAGCGAAATCGCCCTCGCGGAGTAATTCGTAATTAGTTAGCAACACAGCTAAAATAGCTCAAAGTTCCCCGTGTAACTGAACACCTGAGTTAGCCTCCGCGCTGAGCTCGCTCCACAAAGGCGACGCCGGGACGACCGCTTATGTGACGCTTATCAAACTTTTTTTTAATTTTTTTTATTTTACCGGACGGTGAAGTTGGTTTCGGTGAGAAGGTGATAGCGTTTTTTTCCTTCTTTTTCCTTTTTTTCAAACCAACAAAAAGTAAATTCCAACACGAGGCAAAACCGTCCGGGGCCGAGCCGCTCGCGCGCGCCGCCTCCCTCCGCGTCTCCTGCCGTCTGCGAGGAGCAACGGGCGCGCGTCTGCGCGGCGGTTACCTGACTCCAGCCGCGCGCGCGCGCACGCACGCGAGAGGCCTCGCGCTTCCTGTTGTTGTCGCTTCGGATGACAGCGGACAAACAGCGGTTCACCCGACAGCATCGGCCCGGGATGACATGGCGCGTGTGTTTGCTTTTTATTGCGTATTTGGGTGTCAACATTTTCATTGTTACAGTTGCGTGCGCTAAATTTAGGAACGTCGTATACGTTACTTTATGGTTATGGATATCACGTTGAAACCCATCACCAAAGTGTTCTTGCAGGTTGCTCGCGACCACTTCCTGTTGTCACAGGTGATTTTCATTATCCGTGCTAAATAAGAAAACAAGCCAATATTTGGTTGAATTAATAGTTATTTTTAATAATTAATAATTAATTTAAAAAAAAATTACCGCTGGTTGAATGTTCGTAACTGTCTTTTGGCATATGAATGAAAACAAATAGCTTCAATAAATGCAGAGGTTATGATCTGACAGATGAGAGGGAAGTAGAGCATCATAAAGCAGATGAGGTTTGAAAAGGGACTTCTTTTGATATTTCCTTTGGGATACAGGGTCCTGTGGGAATCCGATGTGAATCCACGTTGGCCGCTGCGGTCGTCCTCTGTGAAGCTTTAAACCTAACAAGCAGCTCCGGTGTGTCGTTTCCCTCAAGGTAGGTTTCTGTGGAGGTTCCTTTTCAATGAATCGATCAGTAAAACTTTTTCCACCACACTACACAAAACATCCGTCTGGGTGTACCAGGTTCTGGATGTCGGTTCAAACCTCTATTTTTCACGACTATATTGTGATCCGTGTGTTTTTTCTACACGACATGTCCATAAGAAAAAGCTATTTCCTTCAAGTGTCCTGTTTTACTTGACAAAATAATACCTACTATGATCCTGGTGAGGGTAAGAATGAATGTCTTGTTTGCGAGTGAAGCCAAGGACAGACCAAAGGCACAATTCAGCCATCCATAGCTCCAAATACAACTGGGCCTAGCTATTATTATATATACTTGACTATAACCTACTCGTGTTTAATTTCCCGCCATATAATTCAGCCACATTTCCTCATTTTTAATTGCTCTATAAATTCCCAATCGAGGGTTTGAACCCCTAAAGAATCATCGCGCTTAAGAGATGGTCACATGAATTACATGTGATAGCGTAACTCTACCGTGTCATCTTTTTAATCCAATATTGCTAAAAATCTTCAGTTTAATTTTTCATGGCTGAAATTCCCAAGCATGGGAATTTGAGGAGAGAATATCCTTGGCTGTGATCCACAGCGATAGTGTATGAAATAAATGAGTACATCCACGGACTCGGCCTACTTTTGATTCCCCAAGACAAGAGAGTCGTCACATGACCCACCAGACCAGATAGTGGGAGCGCACAGCCTCAAATCACACAGCTTTCCCTTTACTAAATGGGAAAACAGTCTCTCTCTCCCTCTCTCTCTTTTGTGTGTAACAATGCTCTGCATGCGTGTGCTTTTGTGCCTGTGTGTTCATGCATGTCACTGCCAGCACCTTCTAAACGCCGCTCTTTGTCAGCGTGTATGTGCTTTAGTAGCATACTGTAGAAAGAGCCCCATTCGTGTGTGTGTGTGCATAATGGAGGTGTAAAGAAATGGGCTGAGGGGATCAGTGGATTCTCATGTGAGGTTCACGTGGGTTACCTCAATCTTTCAACAACATGCAAGCAAAAATGTAATGAAACCCACTAACTACGGTGGCCCGTTGGGTCAAAACACAACCCTGAAAGAAAACTTTATTTCAAACTGTTTAAAGAACCCTGACAATGAAATGGTTCTCAGTAGAATCTCAACTTTTTAGCAAAAACATATTTTTTTCCCAAGAAAGATATTTTGAATCATTCCTTTGGGGTACCAGCTAGCCGTGGTATTATTAAGAGTAAAGTAAGAATTGTGGTGATGCCATCTGAATAGATTGATAGATTGGGTTAGGTCACTATGACAAACTAAAATGATTGGGAAATGGAAATAGGCGACACATTACATACTGTATCTTGCATAATACTTACTGCAGTGGATACAAGGATAATCTGTTATTATGTGTACATGTGTCTGTGAGTGCTTGTGCATGGCTGTGCTAGTGTGTGTCTAACTTCCACGCTACACAAACATGTACATTTGCTCACCTTCCTCCTTGACTTTGACAACTCTTGTCTTTTTCGATACATCACTGTGTAGGATGAGACAGGCCATTTGTGAAAAGTTATCAACCCTCATGGAAAGGATGCCACTTGAAAGCCACACAGCTGCAGAGTGTGAGTCAAAGTCATGCAGCATATAACACAGATGCCCTTTGGGAGACTGCAAAAGACAGATATTAATACAGTTGTTTCTTTGTCCTTGCAGCAACTAGGTTTTGTTATTTCATAATCTAGGGGAAATGTCCACCTTTTAGGAGTATTTATAGTCAATGCCCGGTATGGCTTCACGTTATTGAAGCTGTTCAATGGAGTGTGGCTTTAGTTGACTTTTAACGGGCTGCTAACGGTGCTTTTACTCACTGTAGACCTCATTAGTAGCCTCTTCTTTTGTTTGAATGCAAAGCAGATTGTGTTTTCCTGTGATGAAATGTTCTCTTTAAATAAAGCTGCTTTGCCTCTTTCGGTTTATTTAAGTGAAGATGATAATGAGAAGGCGAAGAGGAAGACATTACATAACCTTAATTAGCTTGATATGATACTGGCTTCTTCTGTTCTTCCGTTGAGTGAGGCCAGTTTTGTTGGTGTGCGTTTGTGCGAGTTTGAGAGAGAGGCGTGTTATTCAGATTTGGGGATTCATTGGTTTGTGAGCAAGGCCATTTTGAAGTGCCCCTGGTTCTGTCTACATTGTACGAGCCCTATTAAGCGCATTTCCTCGCTTTTCCTTTCCCTCGATGAATGCAGCAAGTTGTCATGGGAACCGTGACATCCGTCACACCACGTGATATTATCCGTGATTCAATCTGGAAAAAAATACACTTTACTGTGAGTGGTCCGTGCCCTCTCCCTAGCTGTGAATGATTCGTCTGAGTGCAGCGAGAGTGTGGGCAGCTTTCCCCCGACACAAAAGGCTTTTGAAGATGTGTTTGTGAATGTATATTGTCAAAGGGTTGCTGTACATGTTCCTCGGCCACCTGTCCCGCTGATGCTTCCCTCAAATTTGGGTTAAAACACTAGACCCACTTATGTTTTGAGTGAGTCTGTCACATCCTGGACAATCTGTTTTATTAATGATGATTGCTAATCTGAATGATTGGACGTTCCAATCAGAATCAGAAGCATTTATTGCTTAGAATGTTGGACATACAAGGAATTTGTCCTGGCCGGTGGTGCATACATTGGACAATAAGACATAAATAACACAGTACAGGAGTATTAACATATTCAATGTACAATTAAATTTACAAAAATATAAAATGAACCTAACTAACCCCGAACAGATAACAATACTCTACCAGAATGTACTGTGTGTGTGAGTGAAAGTGTCATATTTAAATAATCAGCATGAAGGGATGTTCAGGGGAGTCACTGGTAGGAAGATGGGGTGACCGGACCTCACATTGTCTGGATTGTCATTCACAGACACACAAACTCTCTGCAGAGCACTTTTTCCCCTCTCCTGCTTCACACACACACACACACACACACACACACACCTGTGCACTCACAGAGCCAGTGGTGTCTGCCATTATCAAAGTGGTGCACAGACTCCCATTTTAGCCCATGTGTTGCCTCAGACTCTGACACACATACAGTCCCTCCATCTCTCTCTCTCTCTCTCTCTCCCTCCCCCTCTCTCATACACATTCTGGCTCTCTTCTGCTTTCTGTGTCCTCTTCAGCTGTCTCATTCTCTTATTCCCTCTTCCCACTCTCATTTTTCTCCTCCTCCTCCTCCTTTTATTTGCCTCCCCTTCTCCTTCTCTCACACACACAAGCGCACAGATGTAAACGCACAGAATCTCCCCGCGTATCCACTGGCAACCTCGCTGAGAAACCTCCCTCACCGAGCCCGTGGATCCCTCCATCTAATTAGCCTTGAAGTGCTGTTGAAGATCATCATATTTAGCTTAGCGACCCAGCAGCAGAGTGCAGACAGATATAGACCCGGCTGGACAGCTCTCTCTCTCTCTCTCTCTCTCTCTCTCTCTCTCTCTCTCTCTCTCTCTCTCTCTATTCTCCCTCAGTGCCGATGGGCTTCTTCGTGGCAGGGCGGCACAAGTGAAGGGTGCTTTTGCTTTGAAAGAGACAAAAGGGGGAAAATACGAAGAAGCAGAGCGGGGAGCACACAGAATGGGAGTCTGCAGCAGGAGCGAATCCTCCTAGAGACAGAGACCCGGAGAAGGCGGCGGCCACTGTGCAGCAGCAGTTTCCAACGGACAGAGATTTAAGGTAAGAGTGACTGCTGCACTTCTTTTGGAGTGAAATTGTTGTATCCTGAGGTGAAGCACAAGAGTAATTCTGTCCAATGTGTTATCTCTGTTTTACACACACACACACACACACACACACACACACACACACACACACACACACGGGCATCAGTTGTGCTGCACCACTTGTTGGACTAACATCCTAGTTGACACGTAAAGAGATGACGATCACTTGTGTGTCCGAATGAGCCAGTGCACACTGGTGTGAGTGCGGGTAAATCTCAATGTGTGTGTGTGTGAGTGTGCGTGTGCCAGCGAGGTGGTGAGTGGGTCTTTTGTCGCTGTGATGCCAATGCGGAGCTTATGGATGCCCATCATGGTGAATAGCAACACAAGTCATGACGACGTTATGCATGATTGCCACTCACTTCTTTGGAAGGCGGTCGCTTAAAGGGAGACATCCTCCTGTGTGTCTGTGTTTGCGTGTGTGCGTGTGTGTGTGTATGTGTGTTTGCAATCCTTTAATCTTCTGCCACAACTTGTACAACCCGCTGTCTCTACTACCGACAAATGCCGTTTCCCCGATCAAAGCCCGTTGTGCTGTAGCCGAGGTTTGACTGTACTGACTTACTGGAACAGAAGAAATGGATGGGGTTTCTCAAGAGACAGACAGGCGATATTGGAGAGAACCACAGCATGAAAGATGAACACACTTAAAACACAGCGTAGGACACAAAGTGTAGGATGCATTGCTGCGTGTGTATATATGTTTGTGTGGGTGTGTGTGTGTGTTTGTGTGTGTGTACAAGTCACACTCCACGACAATCAGACAGGAATACTGCATGTGTGTCATGTGCAGATAGAAACCGTTTTGAAGGGATGCTTTCAGACATTTCATTACATTTGTTGCCATAAACAAGAAGAGACTATGTACGGAATAGTCACTACGATATAATAATGAGTATTTCCCTCATATCTCATGTTTCTCAGGAAATGTCTACTTCAAACCACTTCTAATCAAAACTTATATTTGAACATGTTAATTGACCTATTATACACCTCTTTACTGATCCATAATGTAACTCAATGCAACCTCTGTACAGTTAGCTTACTGCTAACGCTAACATGCTGCCCTCCTTAAGATGTCACCAAGTAGCATCATCAGGGATCCTTACACTACTGGCATCCTTATCTGAATGGCTCTTTTAAGTCTCAACTGAAGCTGTAAATAGACGAACATAATGATATGTGAATCTCCACATTGTACGACATTGGAAATGATGATGATCGAATCCCTCTTAGTCCATTATGTTTAAATGATCGTAATCTGTAATATTTTGCATATACAAGTCTTTTAATCTTTTAATCACAGCTCCAGTAGTTTTTTCCTGTTAGATTAAACTGTGCAACATGAGAGAAGAAGTTGGGATTATTACATCTTGAATGAGTCAGTTAGTAATTCTTATACTTTGATGCTCCTTAAATATTTCATCTATTCCTCTCCTCCTCACGTTCAAATGTTAATCCTGAACGATGGGGAGAGTTTTACTCTTTACTGCTTTGAGGAATCCGATTTAATTTTCTTCATCTTCATAGTGTCCCTTTTTGTCATTTCTCACGTCTGTAATGTTTTTCACGGATGGAGACGCATTCCTCCGCTCTCAGTAGAAGCCACCATTGATTTGTGAAAAGGCTGAAAAAGACGCCAACATTTTTGCCCTCAGCCACAAAGTTGACAAGATAATTGTTGCCAAGGAGACGAGGGAATGGGCTCGATGTCTGAGAGGAGAACCACTCGGTGTTTGAACAAATTTAATTAAATTGAAGCCTACTGTGATGAAATCACAATTTCGAAGTTTCTTGGAAAAACTGCGCTTCACTGTCTGATTCACAGACCGTTTAAAATACCGTGTCCCAAGAAATCAAAACGGAAGCTATTCAGCATGAGCGCCGTGGTCCGCATGTCAGCAACCTGCGAGCATCTCGTCCGCTGACCTTCCTCCACTAACTTTCCCCACCATGGCCTCGCCTGTCTCCTTCTACTCCCTCTTTAGAGGGCTGAAGCCTTTTGTTTTTCTTTCTACTTACAGCTGCTGAGTCTGCTGGCTTTCACCCCAACCTCCTCGCTTCTGAAGTGTCTCCAAAGGTCTGCGTCATGACTTTGTCTCTCTCTTATCTCTTTCTGTCAGGCTTTTGTTTTTGATCATCGCTCCGCTCCTTCCACTCTACTTCTCCTCCTTTCAACCCCCCCTCCCCCCCCGTGCCCACCTCCCAACTCTTTTGTGTGTACGTGCGTTTATTATGCATCCTGCAGAATTAATCGGTGAGGGCATCTCTGCGTTGGTGAGAGAGATTGTGTGCCTCGTGTGTGCGTACCAGTAGTTTTGTGCATCAAAATGACGTTTTTGCTCTGACGACGCACGATAAAAGGTTTCTCTTTGTGTGCTCAGACACGATTATCCGTAGAATTGACAATATGCAGATCACTGCTCCTTTACCAATGGATGGACGGCACCACTCGTAAACTGTGCTCATTATGAATAAAGTCAGTCTACGCACATCTCCACTGCTTAGTTGCCAGGGTATCTTTTTTTTTGCCACTGGTGTAATCACGTGCAGCTTTTGCCCTTCAACACCAGCAGCAGCGCACAGGCAATGTTTTTAACTTGCAGCGCATGTCGGGACAGACGCTCCAAAAGATCATAGCTCATCGACGCATCAACTCTCGGCTGAAAAAAGGGGAAATTCCTCAAAAAAGTCATTCTTTCCGCTTGCGATTGAACAGATTGCCAAACCCAGAGATTAACTCTAAGCCAGGTGCCAAGACAAATTATTTACACTCTCCTGGAATGCAGGCTACTGTTTACTGACTCACTGTTTCACAAAGTTGTGACTCGAGTTGCCAGGCAGGTCTCTCTCTTTGCTAAACGACCAAGCTAGTTATTATCCACGGCCAAGCTGGCGTTTTACAGGTGTAGTTGGGATCAGTGTGAAGTTGTAGTGAAGTGATATCATGTGTGAACTAAATAGGCTAAATTACAAGCCTCTCTTTCATTACTTATTACTACGCCTCACTCAATTTAGTATTATGGACAACAACTTTTCTGTGGATGTCAGTTTTAGAGGCATGACGAAGGCCCGAACGCCTCCTGCTGCAGACTAGCGGAGGCTTGTTTTTACCTCAACCAAATGCTGGGAATGTTTTTTATTGACTGCTGACGGCTGGTTTAGAGGAACCAACATTCAATAGAAGCAAAATGAAATTGGGACTTGCATCAACTACGGTTATAAGTGGGCACAACACATATTAGGATGCTGGGTCCCGTAGTGTGGGAGATGAGCTGGACGGACAGGTACACGCACACACACACACACACACACACACACACACACACACACACACACACTTAATCTCCCGCCAGCTTCCAACTGGCAGTGATGGCCCACTATTCATTATGCCATGTCAAGATCAATATTTGAAAATTGTAGCTTTAGCGAAAAAAGGCAGCACATGGAGTAAACACCATGTCTTATTGATTTGAAAATCCAACTAAAGCTTTGCAACGACCTTTGACCCTCACAGATGATTGACAGCCAGCTGTCGGCACAGAGGAGGGCAATGAGGAGTTTCCCTGATGACAGCGGCGTGGAGAAGACCAGCACCTACATCGTGCCCTGCTTCCTCTTCGTGGAGGTGAGTGCGTGGACACGTTGTGTCGCCGTGGAGACCTGACGGGGACACTGAAGGAACATTGTTCCTTTCGTTCGCCAGTTCCGCACAGAATATGGGAAACACACTGCATTTATATTGAGCCTTTCCTCCTCCCACAACTGCTTAATAACTCTGCCTCTGATTCATCAATTCATATTATTAATTCATAATGTAAGTAACATAACATACCCATGTAAGCCAAACAAAGTTGTTTTTACAAACTACTACCACAACGACAATAGTTTAAAACTGCGACAATTTTAGAAGAAAATGACTTTCCCTCGAAACGTGTAGTGTTTTCTATGGGAGCCTAATTCCGGAGGAGACAGGGTTGTCCTTAGCAACAGCCGCTATAACAGCTGGAGGCCATAGTTGCCTTATTGGATATAAGCAGCACCTCAGGCTGATTTTTTTACATTTGGCAGAAATGAAGAATTTGCTGTTCACTCTGCTGCCGTTGGAGAATTTAGAAAACCTCTGGAAACTTGGAGTCACACACAGCAAACTGATGGACACATGAAAGCACACATTTTACATTTTATTATTTTATTTTGCCTGTGAATGATCCTCAGCTCTCCTCTTTTATTCACTTTTCTTTCTTCCATCATTTCACATCTTTCTCATGGCAGATGAAGCACGTCAGTCGGCAAACTGCATAAATAAGCCGGTTCTTTTTTTCAATTCGCAGACTCCCTAAAAGCGCTGATTGATTGACTAACAAGTAATTACCCTCATTCACTCACATGAATCATTTATAGGTACCGTTCAGCGGCAGGACGAAGGGGTTTATAGCTGCAACTTCAAGGTCTTAAGTGACCTTTTAGCCCACGAAACTCCATGATCTCGTTCCTCTTCCCACAGCCCTTCATACAACTCTTCCGCTCGCCTGTTTAATCCCAAAATGACCTGATCGAGCACTCGTGGCCTCAACTGCGTTTCCTAATTAATTAGCCTAATTAAGAACAAAAACCCAATTATCCCGTGCCACCGCTAACACGCTCCCGGGCCTGCAGGTCCTCACAGCAACGAAAGGCTGACCAAGCGTTTTTTTGGGGAGGTTTTTTTGGTCTTCGCATTTGGATTCACTGAAAACATGAACGTAGCTAAACGTGACCGTGGGTTGTTCACGTTTTCACGTTTTGCAAGCCGAGGAAGTTGATACAAAGCTCTCATTCAGGTTTGCACAGTTCCTGGAGCAGACTGCGTCATTATTTAGTGCACCTGCAGTACACCACCTCAACTGCCCCCCTTAAAGAATCTCCTCAACCTCATTCTTCCTCTATTTTTCCCTTTGTACTCATTCGCTCAATGACATCATCCTCTCGGGATCACAGTTTTTTTTTTTTCATCTGCCTTTTGCGTCTCATCCGACACGTGAATGCGACACACTTTCCACATGACTTTTGTCTTCATCACACACCTGTGCCCTGCAGCGTTTTTGGCGTGGCCCTAAACTTGCTTTCATCCTTTCCTTGTGCTTTGGTGTTGGCTCATTCTCAGCATCCTCTTGAGAGAGTTGTTATAATGATTATCAGGCTTTCATAGTGCGTCTTTATTATCTCCAGGCTCATGGCTGTCAGTGGTGCTCCTCTCCTCCTCCAGCATTCTCTTTGACGGCCTCTTGAGTTCGGCCCAGTCACTCTTTTCGCACAGATCCTCCACATCACTCCTCCTTCCCTGTTGTTCCTTTGGGTAATTACATATTTTGCGCCATGGATCTCGCCATTATTCCCCCTTTACTTGTAAAGCTTCATCTCCTCCTCCCACTCATAAAGAAGCTGCTTTCTCCCTCAGCTTCACCTTCCCTCATGGGTCTCCATAGTCTCTTATTCGGCCTTTGGTTTTCTGTTCACACCAACAGTCCTCTTGCTCCCCTCGTATCACAAGCTGCAGGGGGCCATGAACATGTACTTCTGTGGAGGAGGTGCTACGAGGAGCTGATGCCCTCTTTATTTCCTTCGCTTCCTTTCCCACTCTGTCACCTTGATCGCCCCTCTCTCCAGGGGAACTTTTATTTTCCTCAAACAGGGCCAGAGGTGGGTTGAGATGAATATAATTGAACTTTTATCATAATATATGAGCCTGAATGAATCTGTGTACATTGCAGTAGTTTAATAAAGGGCTTTTTTTAATTTGATTCCGCCCTCTTAATGTGTTCACGCCGAAGCAGCTTGCTGTAGCAGAGCTCCCCCCGGAGGGCACTAGCTCCTTTGTTGTTACATTAGCATCTCATTACCCATTTCTTTTCAAACGCCCAATGTTCCTCTCGTGTGATCTGCTCGCTGACTCCCTCTCTCTTTTTCGCCCTCTATCTCCTCACAGTCCGTCTTTCTTTCTCACCGCCCGGCGCCCTCTTTCTCCTGTCACTTTATCTTCACGGCGACGGACGTTTTCCTCTTCCTCGGTCGAGTCCCTCTGTCAGTTCGTCGCTGCTTTGATCTCAGAGCTCGTCCGCCGTCTTTTAACTTTGATGACTGTATCTCTGCATCCCCTCCGTCCCCGCTCTCAATTTTTCTATCTTCACACCGTCTCCCCTCTGTCTCTTACACGGTCGTCGTTTTCTTATTCTGCCAGATTGAAACGTGAGAGCGGGCCTCGTCAGTTTCCCCTACAAAACGAGGGAGGGGATTTCACGCAGTTTCACTTTTGGGTGTAATGGAATGGAGATAAGTCACCCGCTCTGTGCACGTGTCTGCCCGTATATTTTACTCCTGTTTGCTGTCGTGCTTCAAAGCCACGCATCGGACTGCTCCTCGCTCCGGACACTGAGAAGGAGGCCGGTGAGTCGGTTTTTTGATGTAGGCCGGACTGGCCTGCTGTGAGAATCTGTACTGAAGAAAGCGTACAAAGTGACTACAAGTGGAATATTTGAGTGGGCGTCTCTGAGCAGCCAGGGAGTGGTGGTGTGGCTGTAGCATTGGTAAGATCTGCTCTGTAGATGCTAATTCATGGCGTCCAGTTATTTTTGTACGTATTCTGACTCTCCAGCTCTGCTGTAGTCAGAGTAGCCAGGCCTCCTCCCCCTCCTCCTCCTCTCCGTCTTCCTCGTACCTCGTGGGCCGCGTCCACCCGTGGCACAGCGAGTAAACACACATGCGGATCATCGGACCACGTTTCAGTTTTAAATTTCCTTGCATTTCCCAGGTTCCCACTTGCTAATCATTATTTTTATGTTTTTTAGGGAGGGGGGATTTACATATTCTCTCCGCAAAGCATCCGACTCTCCAGCTGTGTATTATTGTTACTAGTTACTATTAAGTAAGTAGATGTACATCAGCATCTTCACCATCTTTTTTTCTTTTGGTTCATCTGGAAAGGCAGCACTCAACATCCTAAATGCACACAACCAACAGTTCCTACCACAAAGCATCCTCCTCTCTGCATGCGCTCACTTCATCCTTATTGCCCGCTGGGTCTGATGCTGCCTCAGAACATCTTGTACCCCCGAGCAACACATTTGCTGCATGTGTTTACTCTTTTCTAAAGATATTTTGTTACCAACAGCCTCACTTGTGCCAAGATCAAAGCCCCCCCCCCGAAAACCAAACTGTGCTCTCAACAACTCGAGGCACCAAATATGCCCACTAAACTTAAGTGTTGCTAACTCTAACTAACTAGTTTGTTCTGTTCAATGCAAGTTGATGTAAAATACTCATGATTGTCTTTGACCTCTTCACGGGTAATTTATATAACCTGAACACAGTACCGTAGAGTAGTATCTAATATTGATTAATTCTCTGTATGTGTCTCCTCCCTCTTCAACACACACGGACACCTTCACAAGGACACAGCAACGGGCAACGGCTCATTTTCACATTATTCTCTCGATAATTTCCCCCCTCACTATCTCTCAGACTCCATGAATAGCACCTGCCCGCCTTTCTGCTGCGCTGGGATTTTTCTGCACTCTGGGTGTATGTTTGAAACACTTGCTAGCTGGCCGCTTCCCACCTGTTATCACTTTAGGAGGCAAGGGAGGGCTGTATGTATCACGGTACAGATTCAGCTCAGTTGCGGATGTTGGAAAGAGTAGCCGCCTCTCCATGCTGAAGCACCATGGCCAAATAATGGCCAAATCGGAAAAAACAGGGAGAAGATCTTTGCTTATCGCTAAAATAAAATTGCTTATGTAAGATATAATATTGCCCCTCGCTTCTTTTTGAGCTGCAATGAAGGGATTCCGATTGATTCCCGCCGCTGTCAGCAACATAAATCATAACAGAAGATTTCCAAAATCAAGATTCGCCATTTGCTAAATTGGCATCCGTTGTGGCAGATTACATCCAAGTCCAACTTCTCAGTGAAATTATTCCATTTCTTGTCCATTGAAAGAATATTCCCCTTTGTTTCTGGAAGGCAAAAAGCAATGCAAATCAGGTGATTATTAGCAAAATTAATGCATGTGAATACAATTAAACGTTTCATTGGGAACATGTTTGCATTTTGTGAGCCGGCGTCTGCTTTCATTCTTCCGTTTGAAAATGCGGGGGCGTGTTTGCTTGAGGAATGAGGATCCTGTAGAATGATATGAGTGTTGCTGCAATAAAGAGAGGGATGAGGGAAAGAGAGGAACAAAGGGGTAAGGAGGGCAAGCAGAGGCTGTTTATAGAAATCGAAGAGGAGTGGAGCACCCGTTTTCCATGGTCAATGGACTGGTATGAAAGAAAATCCCGATTGTTAGTTCTCATGGAGACCACCCACACAAAGGGGCTGCTAACGTTTTTTCGGAAGAACGTGTTGCAGCTCTGGAGATGGGTAGCGGGAGAGTTTGTTTGGCGGCTTGTTCTTCTCGAAGGGGCCACTGGCCAAAAGCCCACCGTCCTTTTTATGCCCAAAGTAGCATTAAATCATGTTGGAGTTACCAACATAGCTAACTTACCAGTTTCCCTCTAGTTCCAACCTCCCAGGAAAAGCCCAGTGGCTTTGACACAGTTGTAACGTGGGGACCAAACAATCCTTCTGGTGACACCACCACCGGTAAA